AAATGTTCATTAGTCATTCAAAGATTTGTTTAAATGATATAAATGCGTGTTTGCTGAATGCTGACGGCAAACGAGAAAATATTATAATATTTGCCTTTCTATTACTAATAATATTAAAGCAATCGTTATACTTTTTTGTATACATATTAATTCATTTGTTTAACAGTTCTATCTGATTATTAGATAGACTTATATCCATATTAGACAGAACTGAACGACAACAGCGAACAGGAGGGAAATTGTGAGTGGTGTGTGCTCAGGCTCTGCCGTTCTATAATAAAATAAAAAGTCCAAATAAAAGCCCCTCGAACACATCGGCCAAACAGAAAAACTTATCGGCCTTGGCGATATATCGGTCGACCACTAGTCTCCATATCTAAGTCATATTTTTAAAAAATGAAAATATTGGTCATTTTTAAATACATTTGTAATCATATTTTTGTCACACAAGTCTAATAGCTCAAATGATTCTCTTTCCAGCTAGTTATCCAACCGAGAACGATGTTCCACCGACGGATGATCTCGATTACAGGCATCACAACTACAAAGAGATGAGACAGGTGAGACGTTTACAGCCACACAGGTATTCTTCAAGGTCACTGGGGTCAACGCTGAGGTTCAGCAGCACGTCAAAACACGTCCAGCGTGAAGGTTGAACTCTATTTTGTGACTCTTTTGTGGTCTTGTTGAAAAGCTGCCGTCCTGCGAGAGTTTTCATGTGTATATGTGTATAAACAGATGATGAAGGTGATCAACGAAGAATGTCCCAACATCACCAGAATATACAACATCGGAAAAAGCTCTCAAGGGCTGAAGATGTACGCAATGGAGATCTCAGACAACCCTGGAGAACATGAGACAGGTAGTTTCCAAGAGGGCTAGATCAATCAACCAGACCAAAAACTGCGACTTTAAAGAAAATGAGTCTTCTTTAAAAATTCAAAATCAGTCTAGAATGGGGGCAAAAATGCTTCTATTTTACATTTTTCTAATTCAATAATAAAAAATTTTTCATTACACAAATATTTAGGTTAACAATTAAAGTTAAAAGTTCCCATATTTTCAATGTGGTCTCAACCTTTTGCACCTCATTGTGTACAAATACAGTATTGTATTAGTCACAGGCCAGTTGTTTTGAAAATGTTAGTTTGCTAAGTTTTATATCAATTTAAACTAATCAGTCAAACCTTGTTTTTATAAGGTGAGCCGGAATTCCGTTACACAGCAGGGCTTCATGGGAACGAAGTTCTGGGCAGGGAACTTTTGCTGCTCCTGATGCAGTTCCTCTGTAAGGAATACAATGATGACAATCCACGAGTGCGCCGCCTTGTGGAGAGCATACGCATCCATCTAGTGCCCTCACTGAACCCTGATGCCTATGAGCTGGCCTATGAGATGGTGAGACACTTTTCAAACAAACATTCCCTGTTCTCCACCCATGCCATTTCTGTTTATCATGTGAGTCATTGTTTATTTGGGCGGATGCTTGTTTGGCTAGGGCTCTGAGATGGGGAACTGGGCTTTGGGCCACTGGACAGAGGAGGGATACGATATTTTCCAGAACTTCCCAGACCTGAACAGTATTCTGTGGGGCGCGGAGGACAGGGGATGGGTGCCACGGGTCATTCCCAATCATCACATTCCCATTCCTGAGAATTTTCTTAATGGCTCTGTGAGTAAAATGTTTTAAGGAGTTATGTTTTATGGAGCAGATAAAGGGATAAGTATTGCCTTCTCCTTAGGTACTTTGACTCTGCTTCTGCAGACAAATGAACGCAGATTTTCCCACAGGAACACAAATGTTTTGGAGGCAAAAACAGAGTTTTTGTAAGTGGATGCAAAGTTTTTGGGTGAACGCAATGGTTTTTTGAGGGAACACAAAAATTTTGCAAGTGAAAGCAGATGTTTTGCGAATGAACGCAAAGTTTCTTTGGGAACGCAATAGTTTTGCGAGAGAACGTAAATGTTTTTGAGGCAAACGAAGATGTTTTGCGAGAGAACGCAAAGTTTTCGGGGGAATGCAAAAGTTTTGTGAGAGAACGCAGATGTTTTGCAGGCGAAAGCAGGTGTTTTGAGAGCAAACACAAAGTTTTCGGGGGAACGCAATAGTTTTGTGAGAACGCAAATCTTTTGGAGGTGAAAGAAAGCAGAGTTTTTGTGAGTGAACGCAAAGTTTTCGGGGGAACGCAATACTTTTACGAGAGAATGCGAAATTTCTCAGTGAACGTAATACTTTTGCAAGTGAATGCAAAAGCATTAAAATATTTTTTCCCCCCAATCTCCTATTTTTTCCTCACCATGTCCCAATATCTAAACATGCAAAATATTTTAACATACTTATACAAGATGTATTTACATTTAAGAGTGAAGTTTATGCTCAAAAGCAAGAAAAAAAAATTGCCAATGGGGTAAGAAAAACTAACTTAGCCTATTATTTTCTATATATTGCTGTAAATATGTTTGGATACTTAATACTAGATTTTTCGCAATAAAAAAAAACAGCCAAGTACACAGACAATGAACAAACAAAATTTTAGTCAACATTCACAACGAAAACTAATACTGACCAGAGATCAATAGCCTATTCATAATCATTCTGACATGATCTGGAGGCAGCATGTCAGTACTTTTGAGTTTCAGAGTTTAGTTTACTTAACAAATCTGCACTCTAGGTCGCTGCTGAAACTAAAGCAATCATCAGTTGGATGGAGAGGACGCCGTTTGTTTTGGGCGCTAATCTACAGGGCGGAGAGAAGATGGTCACGTACCCCTTCGACATGCAGCGTCCACCGCGGGCCACAGACGGCAGGGCAGGGCAGTCGGTGAGCGAGTACCAGCACATGAACGAAGAAACCTGGGCCAGGATTCAGCGACAGAACGAGGGCGCTCTCCGCGAAACGGCGGACGAAAACCTGTTCCGCTGGCTCGCCATGACGTACGCACACAGTCACCTGACCATGACGGAAAACCACCGCGGCTCCTGTCACACCGATGACGTCACGGGAGGCCAGGGCATCATCAACCGGGCCAGCTGGAAGCCAGTTGTGGGCAGTATGTGATGATAAGAAGTTTAACAGTCTAGTTTTCTTTAAAAAATATATATATTTATAATGTTTTCCCCTTTAACAGATCATTTTATACAGTTAAGGATATAACTTTTCCCTTTTCCCCCATGACAACCCTTACCGCCGAAATAATTAAACAAACAAAATTAAATTAAATTACAAAAACAATAATAAGAATAAACAATTTAAGAAGAATTAAAATAAAAGAGAAACTTTACAAAGTTGTACACATTTACAGATGGACAATATCACTGTAGGAATAATAAAAATGAATAAATAAATAAATTAGTGCTGTCAAACGATTAATCGCGATTAATCGCATCCAAAATAAAAGTTTTTGTTTACATAATATATGCATGTGTACTGTGTTTATTTATTATGTATATATAAATACACACACGTACAGTATATATTTTGAAAATATTTACATGTATATACATTTATATTTTATAGTATATAAAATATATTTAATATATAAACAGCATATTTTTATTAAATATATACATGCATGTGTTTGTATTTATATGCACATAATAAATATACACAGCACACACACATATATTATGTAAACAAAAACTTATTTTCGATGTGATTAATCGCGATTAATCGTTTGACAGCACTAAAATAAATACATAGATAATAATACAATTCAATACTCTTGACACATTCATAGTGATCTTTACATATATATAAAACCAATCAACAAATCTCTTTTATAATGATCAGTTAAGGGGGACAGTCTTCATCTTTTCAAAATATGTGATCATGGGTTGCCATGTCTCATAACATTTTTTGACAGATCTCTTCATTAAATATTTAATTTGTTCTAATTTCAAATATAAATGGTTAATTTTTTTCTCATTTCAAATATAAAACCAGGTCACACATCCATATTGAAGCTTTAGGTGGGACCATTGATTTCCACTCAAGTAATATTCTTCTCGCTAATAAAATGGCAAAAGCGATAACATTTTTTACCTTGTTTGTCATGTTTTACCTTGGTGCATTCTGGTACACCAAAAATAGCTATTTCAACACTGGGTTTTGTTTCTAAATTAAAGGCATCATTTAGTGTTTTAAATATTAGTGTCCAATAGTCACTCAGCTTTTATCAAGCCCAGAACATATGAAAAAAGTCTGCTTTGTCACGTTTACATCGATCACACACCTCATCAACATCAGGGTATATTTTTCAAAGTCTACACTTTGTGTAGTAGGCACGGTGAATGATTTTGAATTGTATAAGACTGAGGTGTGCAACAGCCAACCGGTTGAACAGTCTAGTTTTAAAGTAAACATAAAACCAGAATTAACTATTTACCCAGCTAACAAAAATGTTTTACAGTTTTTTTTTCAACTGCTTACATTTTCAAAACTTTGAATCAAGTGAACCCGATGCTTTGCAAAATGATTAACTGTTTCAAAGCACTAAAACGCCACAAGCTGCTGACGCCTGCGAGTCAGAACTGTGTAAATGCAATGAAAAAAAGCCCATTAAACATGCATTAAAACACTTTTTACAAACCAATTACAAATTTAGAAAGCACCACTAATTATAAGACACTGTGTTAATATAATTCCTCTGTAGGTCTGCAGAAATATTTGTTGCATTGACATAGAAAACTCAGTTTTTCTATCAATAAAATAATATCCTCTCAGCTTTCACAATTTCACTTTTCTGTGTTGCTTTAGGCATGAATGACTTCAGCTACCTGCACACCAACTGCTTTGAGATTTCCATCTTTCTTGGGTGCGATAAGTTTCCGCATGAGAGCGAATTGGCATCGGAGTGGGAAAACAACCGAGAGGCTCTGCTGGCTTTCATTGAGCAGGTTATAAAACACATACAAATCAGATCTCTGTGTGGCATAGTGGCTGAAACTCAAAGCCAGAAGGTGGACGGATGCAGAATTTCTATTTCCAGATAAAATGAGCATTGTAAAACAGCGACAAAGCCTCAAAAAATGTTGATCATGTGACCCACAGGTGCATCGAGGCATTAAAGGAGTTGTGAGAGACGTCGATGGGAATCTTCTAGCAAATGCCACAGTGTCAGTGGAGGGAATCAAACATGACGTCAAAACAGGTAACAGACTTTCTGTCATTTGAGGTCTTAGAGGACTAATTCATATTGAAGCTTGTTTTTTCACCATGAAATTCAAAATGAAAAATTTCTCTCTGTTGCGAGATCATATCTCACACTTTTGGGGTAAAATCTCACAATTCAGGCTTTTTGCATCCTGACTTTATTCCTCACAATTCTGACTTTTTTTTTTTTAGTGCTGTCAAACGATTAATTGCATCCAAAATAAATGTTTTTATTTACATAATATATCTGTGTCTACTGTGTATATGTATTATGTATATATAAATACACACATTTACATGTATTTACATGTATATATTTATATTCATACAATTTATATTATATATAAATATATTTAATATATAAACGTAACATTTTTCTTAAATATATACATGAATGTGTGTGTATTTATATATACATAATAAATATACACAGTACACACACATATACTATGTGAACAAAAACTTTTATTTTGGATGCGATTAATCGCGATTAATCGTTTGACGACACTACTTTTTTATATTATATTATATTATTTAATTTTATATTATATCATTTTATTTATTATTATTATTATATATTTATTTATAAATTGTGACAAAAAAGTCAGAAATCATATACAGTATATACAAACTTGCAATTATGACTTTTTTTCTCTTTCAAATTTATACCTCACAATTTTGAATTGCCATCTCAAAATTCAGACTTTTTTCTTTAAATTGCAAGTTTGTATCATTCAATTCTGAATTTATTATTTAATATATCGTATTATTATTTGTCAGTGGTTCGGCTGACAAAAAAGTTAGGGAATCCCTGCTTTGATGTGACGTATTTTTGTTTAGTGTGGTATATTTATCCAAACTTCTTTTTTCTTAAAGCTGCCGCTGGTGATTACTGGCGGCTTCTCAACCCGGGCGAGTATCGTGTTACTGCAAGAGCCGATGGTTATTCTTCTCAGACTCGTCTTTGCATTGTGGGATATGATGCCAATGCGTCGCCTTGCAGCTTCTCTCTGACCAAATCCAACTGGGCTCGAATTCAACAAATCATGGCCCAGAGCAGGAAGAGGCCAAGACTGGTTACCAACACCCCCATGAACACCAACAACCGCGTCAACGTGGAGAGCGCAGGGGCCGCCGCGGGCCCCCAGAACGAGCGTCTGCGCCGTCTGCGACTGATGCGCATGCGGAAGCTGCGAATGGAGAGGATGAAAGGCAGCACGACCACAGAGATGACCACAACAACGACTCCGACAACCACACTTCCACCCACCACAACAGCAACCTCAACTACAGACCCCTGGTTTTACCTGTGGTTTGACCTGGACAGCGCAACCACTCAGGATTATAACGTTGAGTACAGAATAGATGAAGATTAGAGATGGATTGTATGGAAATGTGTGGAATATTGCCCTCTTTTTAAGCTTAAAATGTTCAGGCTCTTACATTACAGATCACGCTCTCTGTGGAACAGAGTATAAAAGACAGAAATATCATTCTTATTTAATTCAAGGGGTCTTATGTGAATAGTCACGAGAATGAGCTATTACTATTGAATGATGGCAAAAAATGTGTTATTTCTAAGCTGTCCTCAAATTACATGCTTGTTTGTGTACACGAATATTATAATGTGCACATGTTTTCTAATAAAAAGTCTCAATATCATTGTGTATCAGTCAAAAAAGCCTCTATATGATTTAAATTTATTCATTAAATTAGTAGATATAATAATTACCTGTTTATTTTAACCGTTTTGTTTTATTACTGTATTGAAATGTACAAAAATAAATGAAGTAGATTTTTTAACATAATATATTATTATATATACAGTTGGATGTAATGCAACATTTACTTTCTGCCCACGGCTCTCAATCAAGTTCGAGTTTTGGCTCTTTGTAGTAAAATGTTTGGGCACCTGTGATCTAGAGACTTTTGTTTTGCGCACATATGTCAGGGACTTTTATTTTCTCTCCGTCCGCTTTTACGTCAGCTCCTGCATGAAGGACTTTTATTTTGAAATGCCGCTTTCTGCCAGCTAGCAAGTTTCTGAAAAAAAAAAAAAAAAATCCTCGGATATTTGTGAGGTGATTAAATATCTTCAGTAAACGCGGACTATTCTGGATGCCAGTGATATTATAATCCATAATACAAATAATAATTATTTTCAATTCCGTAACAGCGTTCCAGAGACACCGCTGTCAGATTAGACCAATAAATAAAAGTTGTTCTGATCTGTTTAAAATTAGCTGTTAGCGGATTAGCTTCAGTCTTGGCTGTTTTACACACAGCAGGTAAGAATGACAATTCATTACGTATATATACACAATGTCAAATGACTGTGCCTGTTTAAGAAAGATTAAGATTAAGAACGATTATTCTGTCGATATCAGGGTATTTCAGAGCTAGCACGACTGCTAAGCAGCTGTTTAGTCATCACTAGCCTGTTGAACTGTATTGAATCATTGTGACACATCCCTTTTATAAACCTTTCGATAATCGGATCCAGTGCTTTCAAGGTTTGGGACCCTCTTCGGAGGCCCTGTATGGGCTGATCTGATATATATGGGTGTGGAGTAATAGTTTAAGATCTGGGCTGGTAACTAAAAGGTTGTAGGTTCAATCAAGATTGCAGGAGAGTTATGTGTATCTGTATTAGGGTGCTATCTTGACTGCAATCTTGTCTTGTGTTTGTTGACCTTGTCACATTTGAATAATAACGTTGTCTTTAAATAATAAATAAAAAAATAAAACACTAAGGTTGTATAAAAAATGCTAAATATGAATAATTAATCAATAAAACAGTCTTAAATCAACCTTAGAGTTGTATTTTTTATTATTTAGTCATTTGTTTCTAAAAAATACAAAAATTGATAATAAAATAATTAGTTGATTCAATAATAAGTAAGTAGCTCAGTATAAAATCATCTGCTAAATATGAATAATCAATTAAAAAAAACAGTACTGAATCAACCGTGGTGCTGTATTTTATATTATTTATTAAAAAATAAATAAAAATAATTATAATCCACCATGGTTGAATCAATAATAAGTGCTGTGTAAGTTGTGTATGGAAAAAAAATAACCTGCTAAATATGAATAATCAATCAATAAAACCAGTCCTGAATCAACCTTAGTGTTTAATTGTATTATTTTGTTATGTTTTTTATAAAATAAGTAAATAAATGAAGTAAAATAACGAAAAATAATAAGTGCAGTGTGGGTCGCTCAGGATAAAATCATCTAAATATGACTAATCAATCAATAAAAACCATCCTGAATCAACCATTATATTATTTATTATTAATATAAACTATGATTATTCGTTAAAATAAATAATGTGTCATTTTTGTTGTGTCATTGCAGATCCTGTTCAGAAACGCCATGAAACTCTACAGTCTGAGCGTCTTGCATAAAGGCTCAACGAAGGCCAACCTGCTGAAGGCGGCGTACGATCTCTCATCATTCAGTTTCTTCCAGAGATCCAGGTACAATATCTAGAATGCTCTCGTTGTTATATGCTTTTATTAAGCTACAAAACTATTTTAGATGGCCAACAAAACCGTTCTCATTGCAGCGGACTGTAAGCTGTTTTTGTTTTGCAGTGTACAGGAGTTTATGACGTTCACCAGCGCGCTGATTGTTGAGCGTTCAGCATTAGGAAGCCGTGCATCTGTCAAAGAGCAAGGTCAGTGATAGTCTTGAAGATGAAGTCTTATTAAATGCTTGCCACTGACCTGATTGTAGCTGTTGAGTTTAATTATAGCTTGTTCAGGATGAAGGACTAGTTATTAGGTTCACTATCATGTAATTAAAGCACCAAACTGATCAGCCGAACTACTGAGAGCCATTTTCATTTGAATGTTTTAGTAGATTTTATACACTGTGTGTGTCTGTATAGTTTTTATAAATTTTTAGTACAATTAATTAAACTACCGTAAATGAAAATAAGAAATGTTGCATTGGCATCTAGCTGAAAAAAATATGTTTTTAATATTTAATTTTATTTCAGTTAATGTTTATTTCAAGTGTGTTTATTTTAAGGTTTTCATTCTAGTTTCAAATGAACTGACAAGCATTTATGTAACGGCATTTCTATTGAAACTTGTATGTCATGTATTCGCACTAATTTTTTCATATTTTTAGTGAAGTTACAATTTTAGCAGGTAAAATTATAATCATTATTTTAATTTAGTATGTTAGTCAACACATTAAAATAAGTGTACTTAAAAGCGCGGCAAAACAACTTAAACATGACTTAATGTAATTTAAAGTAAAACATTTAATTTGACATTACAAAGTACAATTAAGATCGTGGTCATGAAAGTGTACTCTCTTTAAGTGCACTTACGTGGCTTTTTATTTTAGCAATATTATATTGTCTGCAAGTGTAGTTTTTGTAAAATAAACTTTTAAGATTTGAAGTGCATATTCAGTACAATTACACAATTTTTTTTCATAACTGCAGTGGATTAATGAATTGTTTGTTTGTGTGTTCCCCCCGGTAGAGTACTTGTGTCACGTGTACGTGCGAAATGACAATCTCGGTGGTGTTGTGATCGCAGACAGTGAATATCCCTCCAGAGTCTGCTTCACTTTACTTGATAAGGTGCGTTATGTTGACTATCTATCTATCTATCTATCTATCTATCTATCTGTCTGTCTGTCTGTCTGTCTGTCTGTCCCATCTATCTGTCTATCCATCTATCCGTCCGTCCGTCTGTCTGTCTGTCCAATCTATCCGTCTTGTCTGTATGTCCTGTCCTGTCTGTCTGTCTGTCTGTCTGTCTGTGAGACTGCATGGCTTTAAAACCATGGCTTTTAAAACTATTTCAATCTTAAAAATACTTAAACCTTCAAACTTCAAATTTTGAAAACTGCTTCAATCTTAAACATTGAAATCCCGAATTGAAATTGAAATAAACTGTTATATAAGTTTCCAAACAATATTTATTTGTTTTTTTAAACTAACTATGTGTACATTTTAAATTAAATTCAGATGTGTAAATTTAAATGGATAAAAAAGAATGTCAATTTAAATAATAAATGTAATTGAAAAGAATAATTTTCCAGGATTTTTTTTAATGGTTAGGTATGACCATTTTCTCTTGTCTGCAGGTGCTGGATGAGTTCTCCAGACAGGTGAACAGTATAGACTGGCCTTCTGGTTCTCCGGCGACCGTTCAGTACACAGCACTGGACAGCCATCTGGCTAAATACCAGGTGAGTTATGTTCACTAATAGTGAAACCGCAAGAAAAGCCGTGTAGTGTAATGTCCACATTGTTAATCAAAGGTTTTAAAGGCAGTTTATTAGTAAACACAACACATTTTATCACCCATAACAGTTTTAGCATTTCCTGTTTTAACAGAATCCACGCGAGGCTGACGCTATGACCAAAGTGCAAGCAGAACTGGATGAAACCAAAATTATTTTGGTGAGCAAATAATGACGTGAACATTCTTTAATGCACACTTTTTTGATTGTTTCAATCATCTATTTCACCTAAATTGATATTCAGTATGCTGGATGTGTAAGTGTGCTTTGATTCTACACATAGAAGTGTTTGTTAGCCTTTAATGCGCTGGCATTTGTATTAAATTTAATATGTGCTTCTCCAGCACAGCACAATGGAGTCACTTCTGGAGAGAGGAGAGAAGCTGGATGATTTAGTTCAGAAATCTGAGCATCTGGGAAACCAATCAAAAGCCTTTTATAAAACGGTCAGTACTTTACATGCTTATGAAACACAGCAACAGAACATGCAATTTATTACGATGTCATTACTGTTATATATTTTAAAGCTTCATTAGTTGTGGTTTCTAAAACACTCACTCTTGTTATTGCTCATACTTATGGCTAGTGATTTGAACAAATCCCTAAAACCAAGTATTAAACCTAGCAACTACCATAAGATAAGACACCCGAGATGAATAGCGTAAAATTTTTTTATATATTACCTTATTGACAAAAATGTTTACAATTTTAAATGTAATCAACTATGTATTACACGTTTTCTGAAATGTTATGATAAATATGCAAATGAGGGATTATCTAATTACAAAGTACACTATTTGCATATATTTCCAGAAAATAAATGTGAACATTGTATAAAGCCAGGTTCAAAATTCTTGTTTGATTTTGTTGACGTATTAAAGTTAGTTTTTTTTTTTTACAGAAGAGATTTTGGATTTCTCTTTTCATCATTCCATAATTCAGAAAATGCTGTCAGCAGCCAGAAAAAATAAATTTTCAACATGTTTTTAGGAATAATATAATATTATAATATTATAAGATAATAAGATATAAAAGATTATATAAATCAATGTGAATGATATATGAACAAATCCCCCTATAAAAATGTTCAGAATATAGATATGAATAAAACTGTTAAATTTGGTTTATGTAAGTACTATTGAAGTGAAGAAAAAACTAATTTTGCAAAAACATCCTCTAAAGATATGTATTGTAATTGAAATCTACAGATGCAAATAGTTAAAGTCAGGTTCAAAGTTATTGTTTCATTATGTTGAAATATTAGAGTTAAAGGTTTTTACAGAGGGGATTTTGGGTATCTTTTTTTATCACTCCATAAATTAGAAAATACTGTCAACAGGCAAAAAGAAAAAAAAATAAAGTGAGAAAAATAAAGGAATGAAGTGGTGTATAAAATCAGGTGAATGATATATGAACAAACCCTTCAGTAAAAATCTTCAGAATATAGATATGAGTAAAACTGTAAAATTTAGTTTATGTAAGTGCCACTGAAGTGGAGAAAAAACTCTTTAAAGATAAGTGTTATAATGTAAATCTACAGATGTAAATAGATAGTCTAATAATAAAATAATTGTGAATGATTAAATGAACAAACACCTCTATATAAATGTTCAGAATATAGATACGAATAAAACTGTAAAATTTGCCATTCATAAGTACTACTGAAGTGGAGAAAAAACATAATAAAAAAAAAAATCTCCTTTAAAGATATGTATTATAATTAAAAATCTACAGACACAAGATTAAAGTTCAATAAAACAAACACTTTAATGTGTATTTTGGATGTTTTCTTTTAGGCAGAAACTACTAGGCAGAAACAACACATCATGAAAAGCCAAATAGCCCAAAATCTCAAAATGATCTCAAATCGAAAATACTGAGAAAGTTGCAAAATTTTGCCAGGAAAAGTTTTAGAATTTTTATCACGTTAATGTAAAAAATCTTGTGTGATATAACTTGTGTTTGTTTGTTTGCTGGTTTTTATTGTATTTGTTATACTTGTATTTTTAAAATTGTTTTTGCCATGAAAATTGCCTTTGATGGCATTAAATAAATATATACTACTACTATTACTGAGAAAGTTGCTAATGTGAATGGGCAAGTGCTCACATTTTCTTCAGAAGATCTGATGTAATGTTGATGTTTGTATGTTCTAGGCACGCAAGCAGAACTCGTGCTGCGAGATCATGTGATCGCGTCGAAGTCTCTGATTGGACTGGACTCTTCGGCCACCTCTCCTCTCTGGTTTTCTATTTTCCCCTCTTTCTCTCTGTCCTGGTGTGGGCTGGTGCTTTTATCACGCAGCAGTCATAGCGAATACACGAGAGGGCCGATCTGACGGTATACAATAACGGGCTCAGAGGGGGCTGATTTCCCATGATGCACCACATTCACTCTGTCATCGGTTTTCATGTTGTGTGAGAACTTGGAGTTCTTCTTGACGGTTCCTCAGGGTCTGGCACAAGCTCAAAACGGATCCGGATAAAAGCATAGAGGGGCTCGAGTCAAACGTCCCCGCTGTGCCTTACTTTAGACGCAGGAGTGTTGTTATCAGACTGTTGAATTAGCCTTATCAACGGAGGACATGCGAGTGAAAATGCTGCAGTCTCTGTATTTAGACTCATTATTCGGCTTTGGCAGTTTTGAAGCGCCTTGTAGAGTGAACATGTAGCGTGAATTCTTTTTAAATGTGAAAACGGTAAATAATGTGTTAAGTATTGATGTTCATAACGTTCGGATTCTCAATATTGTGTGTAAGTGACTGACCAAATTAAATGTTTCAGAGTCTGTTTGTGCACAATTCTAATGCTTTTTTCTCTTGGAAATGTAAATAAATTACTGAATCGTATTGGCTTTGGTTTCTTGCATCAGGAGTTATTGCAATTTGGTTTTTAATACTTAAGAAACATTCCTGCAATTTGGTGGTTGATAACTAACATGTCTTGTGATATTTGAGAGTCATAATAAAGCCTTAAAGTGTGGTTTAGTGTGAAATCAGCCCCCTTGATCCTCGTGAGACGGTAAACGCAGTTGTAATCTGTGCTGTGTTAGTGATTGTTCACATGACTCGCTGGACCTCTCAAATGCTGAATCCAATCTAATGACGCTTTGCTGCTAACAGACTGAAGGCTCGACTCCTGAGTCCTCGTTTCAAATTAATGTGCTTTTTCTCTTTCTGTAAAGCTTAAATATACATGCACAAAAGTTTGGGTAAAACCAGCAGTATCTGGGTGAACCTGTCAAGATCATGTCCAGGTCTTATTTCACCCCAAAATCAGAAGAAAATCTATTTCTTGATTTAGACCATTTATGTTTTTGCATTTTGACAATTAAGAACAAATTTCCCCCAATTTGTTATATTAATGACATTTTCTCACTGAATTGCCATGGGAATGTTCTTATTGTAAAAATAATAAGTTAATGCATTCTTTTAACATTATATTTTTATTTTAAGTTCTATTTATATTTTTGCATTTTGACAATTAAGAAAAATTTTCCCCCCAATTTGTGATATTGATTAAGAAAATAAGTTAATGCATTCTTTCAAAAATAATTTAATAGTAGGATTTTAAAAAAAAATAATTATATTCTGTTTTGATTTTGGAAATCTCATAATTAGAACCTTTTGTATTTTGCATTCTGATGAATAAGAACAATTTTCCCCAAATTTCTCCCAATTCGTGATATTAAAGACATTTTCTCATCATTCTTTCAACAATAAATAGTAGGATGTTTGTATATTTGAAGTTGTATTTTGTTTAGATTTTAAAAATCTCGACCATTAATATTTTTGTATTCTGACAAGAGCAATTTTACCCAAATTACCCCCAAATTGTGAGGACATTTTCTCACTTAATTATTACTGAGAATGAAATGTTCTTTTTGGTTAAAAAAGATAAAAAGTTGATGCATTCTTTTGACAATAATTAAATAGTAGGTTATTAAATAATAGCAATACTTATAATAGTAGGTACATTTTGACAAGTAGGAACAATTCTCCCCCAATCATCATAATGTACTGGAAAAATGCGTAAATTGTAAAGTACTTAATATACTATAAAATTTATTAAACTGCCTTTAAGCTTATTATTAAGCCTTAAATCTTTATACGGTAAAATAATAAGAATGTATTACACAGTTATGAATAACAGGAATTTAAGAAAAACATTTAAAAGTCTGGAAAATGTCTTACAGTAATGAGAATTTGGGGTTAAAATGTGCATAACTGTCATGAAAATAATCTTGTCTTAAAATATGCTTTACTATCTTTAAGAAAAGTAAAATGTCCTTTGGTTTTTTGAGGTGAAATATGACCCAAACATGTAGTTTTTTGTGGGATTCACTCATCTTGTCTGTCCCAGCGGGCACTAGAGGAACGTTTTGTGTGATTGGCGTGTTGAACTGGAGAATCTGAATCTTAAGCTCATCACTATGACATGTTCAGACACTAAAGTTGTGTTTTCTATACGTCAGTAGAGGTGGACTGAGAGTGTCGTGTGTGTAGATGTGTGTTCAGTTGAGGTACTTCAGCACAGGAAACATGACAGTGTTATATTGGGATCTAAATGAGTGTGTGTTCAATCTGTGTGCTTCTATCTGCCCTCAGCAATGTACAAGTTACACTTCATGTGTACGACTAACTAACTAACCAACCAACTGCTGATGTAGTGTGAGACCGTTTGAGGTGCCTTTTTCTGGTAATTGCCAAACCATTGCTGGCTCATTTTAGAAGAACACAATCGGTTAGTGATGTTTCAGACTAGTTGTTCCCCTTCACTTACTCATTAATTGTACTATAATTTAATATGTTGACTAATAAATATGTGGCAGTAACAAAACATGCCTTTCATCGGTTTTTAACCAATAACCTGTGCTATAACTTGTCACGTGATCAAATGAGTAGTTGATGTTGAAATCAAATTACAACTGCAGAATCTTTGTCCATGTCTCCATTTTATACAGCTATAAAAGCATTGTCAAAAGGTTTATATTAGCCGATGAACTATTCAACTGTTAATATGAATAATAAATCTCATGAAACATGTCCAAGTCATATTTCATCCCAAAAATAAGACATCATATATTTTTAAACAGGACCTTGAAGTTGTTTTTGCATTATTTTCATTACATTTTCTGCCTGAATTCTCATGAGAGTTAAATGTTCTCACTTATTTAAAAGAAAAAGTACTGAAAAAATGTTTACATTTTAAAGTACTTATATACCATGATTCTGAATTAAATGAAAAGTAAAAATAAGACATTTAATTAAGCCTATTTTGAAGACTATTAAAGGGGTCATATGATGCGATTTCAATTGTTCCTTTCTCTTTGGAGTGTTACAAGCTCTTGGTGCATAAAGAAGATCTGTAAAGTTGCAAAGACTACAGTCTCAAATCCAAAGAGATATTCTTTATAAAAGTTAAAAGTCAGCCACGCCTACCTAAAACGGCTCGTTCTAACACGCCCCCACATGTCTACCTCACGATGTGGGAAGATTTGCATAACGCCGCCCAAATGTTCACGCAAAGAAAGAAGGCGTAACTCTTATTCTCGTTGTAGTTTTGTTGTTTCCGCCGCAATGTCGTAAATACGCTGTGTGCTTCGTTGTAAAAGTGAAACTACTTTGTTTGGCCTTCCAAAAGAGGACAATATCCGCTTCGTCATGCCT